TTAGAGGTTAAGAGTTCTCGCGCGTGACCGAAGGTCTTAGTTCCGAGTCCCGCGAGTGTGATCGTGAATGTGCACTTCTGAAGAGTTTCATAGTAGTACGAAATGACCTTCCAGTACTTCCAGGTTTTCATTGGTGGTCTAACATCAACCGGTTCATGATCTCAATCGAAAACAAGAATACTTCAGAATTAATATTAACTGTGTCTAAGAAAGCCATCCAGTTCACATAGAATGTAAATAATTGCTGTCTGATTTTTTTAAGTATAATATTTTGATAATTTGAGATTTATTATTAGCTAAAAGTCTACTAATTACAAGTTTTGGTAATTTAAGTAACACTGCAAGATAATTTCCAACTCACATACAATTCTGAATAGTATAGAATTCTCGAGGTTCAGCAAAATGGTTCCATTGAACCAACGTGCCCGAAATCAATGGCTCACACTTTTAGTTCACTGCAAACAGCACAGTGTTTGTCATAATGTGGTTATTTTCTAACATGTGATGAGAACCAACTGATTCGCACTATTCATCTAACTAACCTTTAGTGATTGGAAACTGATTATTACCTCTTGCAGACTACTATATATATATCTACAGCTTATTTGTTTTACGTTGGGTGGGTTTTTGTATTAACGGCTTGTTCTAAGATGATCTAGTTTATGTCTGTTAGAATTTAAATACTGTAATGCATTAGGTGTAACACGAAACAAAACAAACCATGTCAAATTACTAAGACCGATAACAAGTGTTTTTTTTCGGTTACGAAAGTCAAGATAGAAACATAACATTATTTTGATTGGTCGATATTATGTTTCCTTAGTGCTGATCGAACTGTTTTTTAGCTCAAGTTTAAATATAGCTACTAAATCAATCAACATCATGTTCACTGTGTTTAGGAGCAGTCGACACAAAGCCATGGACCTTAATTTAGTGATAGTAATTACTCTTTATGTGGAGGTCGACATAAATTAATGGGAACTTCATGGAGTATGAAGTTGGGAAAGTCCCACGAAAAGTATCAACTACTTCATAAATCCAGTTTTCCCTTCCTGATGAGTGGAAGATATTATGAAAACTATATTCAAAAATTTTTGTCGACTGTTTCCAATCACTTGACATTAGTCTATTGTTCTCTATTCGACTGAATCATCTTATAATCCACTAAATACTATCGAATAACTGAACACGAATTGTATCTTTTATATACCTGACATTCAGACATTAATTCAGACAATAATGCTCCCATCCCTCCACTAGAATTTCATCAATAAACGTCGAAGAAAGTCATTAGTATGCACATGATTATTAGTATTATGAAAATTTCGGGGTTTGTGAAGATTATTCAGTCTAAACATTACTAACTAATATCACCTGAATAATTATTAGTTCTAGAGAATATATGTGTGCACCTTACAAAAATCATGAATCAAAGTTTGACAATCTGGAAGTACTTGACAGCTGTTTCGTACTGGCATGGAATTTATCAGTAGTGATCATCTATGACCTCAAAAAATCAGAAATCAAGCCCAGAACCTTAAATCTCACTTGAGAACTTTCAACATGTGTATATTGCTGAAGCATTTTTAAAAATCTAATTAATAAGCTACTTCAAGAATTGACTTCTATTAATAAATACATTTCAAAGTGAATATCTTGATTCTGATCTCTTTACATTAAGTAAATATTCTTGTTTATACTCTTTGTCTTATACTAGTGCAGATAATCTCCGGTACATTTATAATCGTTTTTTGCTAAATATATTATGCTTTCGTTCATTATCTACCTACATCTATATGCGTGTATGTGTGTGCGTTTTCTATATATACGCGACAGAGAGGGACGAACACGCACACACGCACAAACAAAGATTAGATCGAAATAGAGCCTTATTTCGTGTCCTTCATTAGTTGATATTATTATTGTTATTGTTATTATTATTGTTATGATGATGATAATAGGAAGCACTCATTAGCCTTCCCATTCTTTTCAACTTCATTTTCTTCTTTCTCTTTCCGCAAAATTTTCTTTTCATTTCAATTTACAGATTTTTTTCAAACTTTGTTTCCATTATTTAAAAAAGAAGGGCATAACGACTAAAAAGGAAACTAATAATGGATTGATAATTGAGTCTCATTTATTTTTTTTTTTGAAAAAAAGACCAGTTCCATTCAATATAGAACTAAAGGGAAAAAATAATACTAATAAACTGACAAAAGAAGATATTTGTTAACAAGTTGAGAAGGAGAAGATGGAAAAGGCATGGAAAATGATTGGTGACCAGATGATTTTTCCAGTAGTAATCATCATTTGGATCTTCACAACTCCTTGAATGAGGTCCTAGAAGTGGTGACTAGTGACGCTATCAGATATGGCTGAGAATAGAAGCCAGTGGAGATCTTGCTGTAACTCTCTTTTACTTTCTTCATAAAAAATGAATGTAACTTCTTTAACTGGAAGAATTGTTACTGGTTGTATTTTTCCTAACTGAACTGTTTCTCTTTTCTATTATTATTATTATTATTATTATTATTATTGTTATTATTTCACTCTCACTGTGAGGTTAAACTTTAAACCAATGTGTCAGCATCCAATGATGTACATGAGAAAAAAATTCAGAAGTAATTCCTAGATTTCTAATAAGGATTCGAGATCAGTAGACTTCGAATATCTTGAATGTGAGACATTTAACCACCAATGGCATTGAAAAAAGATTCCTCAATATTACGAGCTTCTTGAAGCTAAATATGTGGACAATTTGGCTCCTGTTAGATGTTCAAATGTATAACAATCGCTGCGAGATCAGATGCGATGAGGTCGTGGGTGTACATCACTGATGAGTCTCACACTAGGACGAAGATTCTGTCCAGTGCTCCCTGGTTTTTAACATTTGTTTTAACCAAGATCAGTCTGTGATGGTAACTGCAAAATAGAACGAATCTATTTCATAGACAATAACAAACACTAATTTTCTCATACACATTTCGATCAATGAATGGATGTACAAATATTCTGAAGAGCATTCTATACTGTTGCTTTCATTTTTTTGTCACATTTAGTCAAAATGTGAAGAACATAAATATTTAGACACTTGATAGTTCTTGGTTAAGTTAAATATTTTCCTAAATAAAGTAACCAAGTTTATATGCATACAATTCTCAGTAACTACATAATAAAAGTAACTTTGAATGTAATAAGCATGAAGTAAAAAAAAAACTTGATGTGGAATAAGCTAAAATTTTGAAATTTATCTTATGTTGATTGTTTCGCATGATATTAGAATGAGATAGTACAAACCTTTGATATTAATATTTGACTGGTGAATTTAAGAAACGTAGTTCGAAGTTAATACTCGAAATCTTAAAGTAAATAGTATTTTCAATAGTTGAGATCATGAGTAAATTGAAGTTAGACTATCATGTAAAACTTGGAAGCACTGGACGGCCATTTCATCCTAATATAGGACTCCCCATCAGTGCGCACCCACGATCCTGCCCTCCTCGAGATTCGACCTCAGGACCTATCAGTTTCGCGCGCGAGCACTCAATTGTTAGACCCCTGACTCGGCCGGCATCCAACGGTGATATCGTTTAACTTTAACCAATCCACGAAGATATGCCGCCGTACATCATTGTCTTCAGTGAGCTGATATCTCACAGCAGACCTGGTTGGACTCCACTGGTTACGGCTTCTCACTAGGACTCCAGAATATACCTTTTGAAGCCAGTCAGTAGTGGGAAGATGATTATTATCAGACCACCATGGTAGTCTAGCTTCAACTGACTCATGATTTCAACTATTGAAATTACTAAAATCTCCACAAAACCCCTTCTGATAAATAGTATTGTTGATAGAAATTAAACATCATTTTACTTATGATTTATTGAACTGTGTTCTTATCCTAGGAGATTGTGATGAAAAAGTTAGTCCAAAGGCTAACTTCTAATTATTTTGAAATGAAAATTATATTGCTTAAAGAAACGAGTAGTTGAACATTATGAAACACTGAATTGTTAATTCATTTAAATTTGTTTTCAGTAATAAACAATCGTTCTGAACCCGTACAGATTATTGTATCAGTTTTACACTTCAGTAAATTTATTTAATCACCTTCAGTCCTTCACATCAGCAAATGAACTGGAAAATTCATAAATAATTTCTAAGTTGTATATCTAGTTTAATACATTGATCTATTCAAATAATCTAGTTAAACTCAGTCTGTTTAAAGAAATCGAACGTATAAACATAACTAAATAACCCTATATTTAGCTCATCTCCTATGGTTAAATCACTTTAACCCAACTACTAAACAAATCACATCAACTGAATTGGGTAGTTTCTAACTACTTATATAAATCACTTGTATGTGCATATTTAATGTATGTCGAAGTTAGCAACATAATGCCTCAGTTGAATGATATGAAGTAACATATAGTTTAAACCTTATCAAACTTTACATATTTTTGACTATTTTCAACGTAAAACATCAGATATAAAACAGAAACTCTTTGGAAACAAAGTTCCTACAAATAAAACATGATGGAATGAAAAAGATTCTAGAATACATTCAAAAAAAAATTCTAAATATAAAGTCCTAACAACCAATTGATAAACACAGTATGATACTATTGAAGTGGATCATTTATCTTGACATTATATAAACAACTAGATAGTTCTATTTTGATTGAATCATTTCACATTCATCACTTAATAATTACATTTATGCACTTTAATTTTTTAAAAATTTATTTAAATGTACTAACTAAACAATTATAACCACTTAATATGTTAATCATAAATATGTAATTGAATTATTATTAGTTTTAAATCATTGTAACCAATTCAAAAATGCTGATATTTGATTGGTTGTTATTCCTTTTAATAGATTAATAGACAAACAACAGCTGATTAATTAACTCATTTCTTATTGGTCGATTTGTTTGCTCTTTTATGATTGGTTAATATTAGTAATGATAACAATGATAATAATTATTATTATTATTGTTATTATTATTATTATACTCGTTGTTTATTTATCTACTTTTACATACTTCAAATAAACGGATTATTATAATCGTGTTTAACAACTTGGAAAAAATAACTCATGCCTTGAATGTTTTTTTTTATTTCACCAACATCCGTATAGAAGTAATATATCCAATTTTTTTTCGTTTCTTTTCGTTCCCCTGCCCCCCAAAAAATAAAATTGACAAATGAAATTAAAAACAAATTACATTGTAATAACAATAATAATAATACAATTATTTGTTAATACATATGCATTTATTAATAAATCATTAAATATTCAATTAAAAATTGATGAAGAATCACCATTACATACAACCGTTGGAAATATTACATCATATTTATTTAAAAAATCTAAAATTACATCCGATTCAATCTATTTTACAATAACACCAAATGGTTTAATTCAATTAATAAAACGTTTAGATATAGAATCATTATGTATAGAACAATTATTATGTTGTGAATATAATAAACCATGTGAATTAATATCAAATATAATCATAGAAGGTATGAATACTAATGAATTACAATTATTAGAATTAAATGTTATTGTACAAGATATAAATGATCATAAACCACAATTTATAAATGGTAATGAACAAATAATAAAAATATCTGAATTATCTGAAATTGGTACAATATTAAATGTAATACCAGCTATTGATTTAGATATATCACCAGAGAATCAAATACAACAATATACAATACATGGGATAGAATTAAAACAACATTTTGAATTAGATATAAATAATTTACCAAATATCTATTTACGTTTAATTCAATTATTAGATTATGAATTAATTAAACATTATAATGGAATAATTGAAGCATGTGATAAACGTTATTGTATACAACAAAATTTAACAATACAAGTTATTGATGCAAATGATAATAAACCATTATTTTTAAAACATTCATATGAATTAACTATACCAGAAAATTTTAGTGTTGGTCAAACAATTTTAATATTTAATGCAATTGATAAAGATTCTGATATAAATGCACGAATGAATTATCAATTACAAGATAATATGGATATTAATTTAAAGAAAACATTTCGTTTAGATAGTCATTCTGGTCATTTAATATTACAATCACGTTTAGCTGCACATCAACGTTCAGAATATCGTTTTATAGTAACTGTAAGTGAAGTATTAAATAATCAAATACAATCTGGTGATATTACATCATCATCGTCATCATCATCAACATCATCATTATTATCTAGAATACCAGTTACACCAAGCGATACAGCAAATGTTGTAATCACTGTACAAGATTTAAATGATTTTAGTCCATCAATTAAAATGATTTCACCAATGGAAGGTAAATCATTATCTATATTAGAAAATTCTGAACATATACGTGTTTGTGTATTACAAGTTACAGATAATGATTTATATGATAATGGTCGAGTACAATGTCATCTTGTATCGAATACACTTGAATTATCTAATAATTTAATAAATTCTACTAATATTGATTCATTTGAATTGACACAAACTGGAAATCATTATACTTTATTAACAACAAGATCATTTGATGCTGAATTAGAACCACATATAATAGTGAATATTGCATGTACAGATTATGGTATACCACCACGTTCATCTAGTCGTGAACTTATGATAAACATTGATGATGTTAATGAATATCCACCTGAATTAGAACGAATTAATTATCATGCTAGTATAATGGAAAATGTTAAATCTGGTGTAGAAGTTGTACAAGTGAGTTGTTTTTCTCTCCAATTCATTTAAAATAATTATTAATGTAAAGCACAGATTGTCGATATTTTGAGGTTTTATTAAGTTTATGAATTGACTTAATTTAAATAACCATGGCCGTTTCGTCTTAGTTTGGGACGCCTTAGCAGTGTACATCTACGAAATCGCAACCGGGAGCCGGGCTCAGGGTCTCCGGTCTTGAGTATGAACCTCTAACCTCTAGACATCTGAAGTTAAACACTTTTAACTTTGTCGGTCTTGAATATTCGATTAATAACTCTGATAACTTGTTTATGTAGATGCTCTGTTTACCAGTATAATTTGAGTATGTAGTTAGTGGTTGTTAGTTCTAGATATCAAATCGATGCTTCTAAATACACATTAGTAATCCCTTGCTTCTATCATAATCGATTAGTTGGTAATGACATCTCAAACAAACATAACCTTAAACCAATAAAAATCATAAAAATTGTCAGTCATAACTTCTGTAGCTCAGTGGAAGCATTTAGTTCAGATATCACGGAAAACAATGTTATATACACCTAACATATGAGTGCCGAAGGAAATAAATTTCATTCATTCCTTTTGTTTTGTCAGAAATTTCAATAAACAGGGAAGACCTATTCACTGCCTTCTCACGGCGGGGGTGTTGTTCATGAAAGTACGAAAAGCGAATACCCGGCGCTTCAACTGGGTTGGTAGGTACAGAGGATCTACTTAAGGGATTTGGAAAATCCTGACTACAAACCGATGGTGCACATAGGCTGCTGAATTTTGCGAGAATAAATGGCGTACGAACCCTTTGTTTGTCATCGTCTAGCATGGACTGCATCTCCTTGTGAATTCGACCTCTAAGTCATAGGTTCAGGGAGTGGCTCCCTAAGGAAACCACCTACTTCGGTTTTGGCCCCCGTGCAGCATGCTAGTCCTCACAGAAATCGAATGACAAAGTGTGGAGCACATATGTTCGATGCCTTTTTGTACCAATGTTCATATGTTTAAATAAATAAATAAATACCATGTAATATTTGTAAACAGTTATAGGTGATGTTTATTGACCTTTAACAAAATCAGTCTAAATGGTGAATTTGTAATCATTATCTATCTTCCTATCAATCTTGAATTGAGTTTCATTCTTGACATTTCATTCCTAAATCTGATAAGTTCTTTCTGACCATATGTTTTTCATGCTTAGATTTCTATCTCTCTCAATATTATTCCCATTCTTATCGTTAGTCATTTCTTCTCACTACATAGTTTTATGGTGTTTCAACTTTTATCAACGCATAATTATACCAGTTTTTACATTCCGTAACTAACTGACTTAACTCAATTTCATAAACTAGTTGAAGTTTCTTTATTTTTTTTTTTGATATCCGACGAAATATCCCTTAAAAATTACTAACATAATTGTTATCTTTAAGAAAAAGACACGTGACCTGTCATTTTGGTTACTAGATCTATTCTAAATAATGATGTTTTTTCTCTCTTTTTTAAATTGTCATACGATATGTATCAGCAGACGTCTTGTGGATATTATTAGTAATTTAATAGTTGAATTCATGAGTCGGTTGAAGCCAGACTATCATTGACAGCCTGGAAGCACTGAACGGCCATTTCGTCCCCCTGTAGGACTCCTCAGCAGTGCGCATTTACGATCCCACCTTACGACACTCGAATCCAGGACCTATTGATCTCGCGCGTCCTAGCGCTTGACCAGTAGACCACTGAACCAACCGACATTCAACGGTGTTAATGTCTAACTTCAACTAATCCATGAAATTGAGTGACACATCTACCATATGAGTTATTTCAATTCAGATTTACTTATTTTTAGACAGAGAGAAGCTATATTTAGCGTAAATTTAATTTGAGAACATATTGAATGGATCATGTTAACAAGCCTGATAAAAAACTATTTCATTTCATCTGATGGAAAAAAATGTCAGATTATCAAAAAATATCTTGTGCGTGTGTGTGTGTGTATGGATTTCCTAATTTGGATAAATTTTCTAGAATATTTTATCAAACAAATAAGGGTTGGAAACACAAAAAAACTTGGTGTTTAGTACAATTTATTCACAGGAAAAATAGAATAGAACAGTTTGACATAAATTTTCTCATTACGGATTATTATTATTATTGTCGCTATCGAGTCTCTTTAGTGTTAAACAAATCATTTATAAAAATATGAACAATATATGTGATCATAACTTTAAGTTGTATATAACTGTCAGTATGAGGTTGTGGAGATTATTGAATTTTATTGAAATCGTAAACCGATCAATGTTAGACTACTATTGAAAACCTGAAAGTATTGAACGGCTGCTTCATTCAAGTATGGGATTAATCCACGCGGGAATCGTAACTAGAACTTCCGGCCTCGTACGCGAACACTTAACCTCGAGATTGTTGAGTTGGCGGGACTCAACAGTGTTTATGTCTAACCTCAATCAATCCACCATATTGCGCGACAATCTTCCATTGTCTTCAGTGGATAACTGTCCAACACACTCGACATGGATTAGCTTCACTGGTAATAGCTTCTCATTAAACCGAGACCGAAAGTCCTGGGTTCGGATCCTGAGTAGCCCCATACTATGACGAAACGGTTTGGTGCTTCCAGGTTTTCAAGGACAGTAATCTCATGATCTCAATCAAAACTCAACAATCTTCACAACCTTATACTGACACTAAATATTACTTATCTCTATAAAAATTATTTAAACTTATATATTTGTTAAACCTTAGTTAACACTTAGAAATTGTATAACTTATAATTGCCTGTAGTCCGTGTAAAATAATCTGTCTCTCAATTTTTAGTCGCTTAATTATTTTATAGCTATTTCTCATCATTATCTCGTCTCTTACGCCTGGTTCACTTAATACGGTGGTTTTTACTCTTACTATTATTATTATTATTATTACTCGTGATAATATGTGACAATAAAAATTGCTATAAACTATTCTAGATATTAATTTATTTAGTCTACATTTGTATTTCTACTGGTCCCATACATATTTATCCCATATTAATTAAGAAGAAGACCGATAGGTCTTGGTTTTGAATCCCGTGGGGCGGGATCGTGGATGCACACTCCCGAGGGGTCCTGTGCTAGGACGAAACGGCCATCCAGTACTTCCAGGTTTTCCATGGTTGTCTAGCTTCAAGTGACTCATGATCTCAACCATTGAACTTACTATAATATCCACAAAATCCCTTCTGATATTTATTTCATATACATGTTTACATTTAACAGATATTGACAAGGTTCGTTTTTTTTTGTAGTTGTTTATTTATTTTATACTGTTCATTTGTCTAGACTTTTAAAGAACAGGAAAAATCTATTTGTGTATCTATACCTAGTCATTCATATCATTACTCATAATAAAACATATGTAGTTTATTCATTGAAATGTTTATGTGACAGAAACATCTGGGCATTATATATATCTGTATATATATCAACAAACTATTTAGGGTGACAGTATTAGTAGTCATTGTAATAGTAATGTATCCGTACTTGACTGTGTAAAAATGTTTACTTATATGAATAAGTCCTTTTAATACACACTTTTATAATAGAAAAATCCCACCATATGTGTTTATATGCATTAGGTTAGATGATTAATGCTTATATATATTCGCGTTTGTCTATTCAAGTGTTTTCATGTATGTGTATTAGATATATTGATAGTAAATGATAATCGAATGCATATGTAAGTATTTCACATTTTTACAAGTAACGTTCATCACAGATTTGTTTCATTTTGAAAAAAAAACATTGGAGACTAAGAAGCAGCATACAACTGTTTCGTTCTAGGATGGAACTCTTCAGACTTGTCCACTCACTGCCCTGTTAAAGATCGAACCTAAGACATTCAAGTCTCACGCGGTTTTGGGATGTAAGCTAGAACGAACTAGCTACCCAATATCTTATATTTTCCAGTGACACCTCAAATGATATCACCCCGTAGCGACTGCCACCTACAAATAGACTAATCTTTACAAAATACATCAAAACTATTTCAGGTTCTTTAATGTATAGCCATGACTATTAAATGAATTAATATGAAGCTCAGTCCCACCTCAGCTTCTTATAGTGATTTTCTGAATATGATACTACATGGTAAACGCTATTTGCTTAAAAACTGAATCTGTGATAATATGTTTAGGTCGAATTGCGGCTATTTTAAAACTATCTTGTTATTCGAATATTACTGTTGTAGTTAAATAGATGTTCTACAAAGTAGGCACATAAAATGGGAAATCTCGTCATTTTAAAAAATAAAATCAACTTAGTAATACCCACTACTGAATTCCAACTGACTAATCTTAAGTTTTCATCCCTAGTAAAAAAAAATCTAAAGACTATCATTCTATCTCATATAAGATTGTACGGACGTACTGGTTAACATTCTGAAACTATGATAAAACGGCTGTGCTGTACTTACTGTTTTTCAGTATTTCTCCAACAGATAAAAGTTCATGTACTGTACTTAGTCACTTAAGTGCCTACTTCCTAGTACTGAGAACTCTTCTTCTCTTAAACCCTGAACAGAAAACAAAAGATGCAAAATTATTTTTAGAAGGTTAGTTTATATACAAACCTTAAGATTTTAGAAGCTTTTGGAAACTATGATAAACTTAACAACGAATTCAGTAATTAAAGATGGATAATGGCCATCAGTGGAATCCAGTTTGACGCGCGTTTCGTCCTGTTTGGGACTCGTCAGCTGGATGTACCTTCATCTCCGAGTTGATGTCCACTCTGGGACTTGAACCCAGCACCGTTCGCTTCAAATGCTATCACGTTATTCACTTAGCTACTGAGTCTTGATAGCCAGTAGTTGTCTAATATATGAACGAATAAATAGCTCCACATCTTTGTTGTGTTAAGCAAGGGGCGGACAGACAAAAACATGGCACAAGTCCATGAAGTCACTGACAAATGGACTGGGACATGTTGGTAGGTGTAGACTACCTGGTTGGGGACCGCGAT